CACACAGGTATGTATTGTGTATGCACACACAAAAATATATTTTAATTTGATACTCCAAAAGTCAGGTATCCATTCAAGATCTAATTTTTAGAACTTGTGTCTCCCATTACCTGGACCAACTACATGATTTCAGGATTTCAGTTCACTGTATTTTGAACACTCTCAGGTGTCAAGACTGTCCTATACAGAAACTTGCATTTTGATGCATTTTGTCTCTCAGTTTTTAAGAAAATCTCACTTTAAGAGATTGGTTACTACATTTACTGGTTTTGATATATTTTTGCTGTTGCTCTCAAGGACTGAGTTCCTAAAGCATCACAGAAATGTTATCATCCTCACTCTACAACCTGTGATATAAACATACAAAGCAAACTGCTATGGGCTGCAAGTCACTGTGAAAGTCAGCAATAAGAACTGCAATTCCTGCATCCAAGTTCTCTAAGTGCCTCGAGTAGTCCACATTCTCTCCTTAGCACTCTTGACAAATTATTTATAGGAGATATATTCACATAGGCCGTAAGACATAAAAATGTTCTAATTATATCAGTCAAATCAAATGACAATTATGCCCTTAGTTTAGTTTGCCAGACAATGCTTTGCCAAAGAAGTTTTGCCAAAATGTTTTGACCGAAGAAAGGGGAAGCATCATCAGCATCTGCAGACGAGACACTATAAAACCCCGCAGGGATAAGTCTGGCCTGTCCCTCGGAAGATTTCAAGGTAAGCATAAGGATTTTGTGAGTGTGAAAAAACGGGGGAATGCCATTACATTCTACATTTCCCATTCCATTCCTCCTGTCTCAGGCAGTCATTTTGGTGGGGGGATTTGCAATATGAATTAAGATTTTCAGTATAATTTCAAAACACGTCTGTATCTTTGATCTTGAATCTATACTTTGTTGCTGAAATTCATTATTATTTTACAGAGTTGGCCAGTTTCCAAGGTACAGACATTCTCTGGTGTCTGAAAAGGTAAGATCCCAACTCATTTATTTCTAGAGTACATGCAGAGTCTAAGTGAGGATTTCTGTATAATTGCATGAACTGTCTTAATAAATCCTCTTTAATTTCTGCCCAGTGCTATTTCGGGTAGATTGTTGAAAATAGGGAAGAACCGAGAAATGAAGTTGCTGTTCACTTATAGCACAGAAAGTAGCATTCTTACGAAGGAAGTGTTCTTTTGAAGATTCATCAGTCATAACTGAGGATGAGATGAGAGAATGATTTTCTCTGGCTGTAGTTTTGTTTATGTGAAGGCATCAAAACTGGTCAGAATTTGTCAAGGCAAGGTGACAAACTGCAGTCAATATTTAGAAGATATTTTATTCATTTTACAAGACCTAACTGTTTAACAATACTAAGTCTTACTCTCAAGTGGACTTGGGTACATAGAAGCTAAAATGAACCTGGATTTCGGTGGCGGCTTTTGAGAGCTCTTCTGAAAGGCTAGCTGGCAATTCCTTAGATGAAGAGGGCTTTGCTCACTGACATAGATAGTGTCACATAACTTTTTTTCCTCACCAGAGTGTTTGTTTATGTACCTTCAGTAAACTGCAGCCATGGCCTCTTCAGACGCTGAGATGGCCGTCTTTGGGGAGGCAGCTCCCTACCTCCGGAAGTCAGAAAAGGAGAGAATCGAGGCCCAGAACAAGCCTTTTGATGCCAAGTCATCAGTCTTTGTGGTGCATGCTAAGGAATCCTTTGTGAAAGGGACAATCCAGAGCAGGGAAGGAGGGAAGGTCACGGTCAAGACCGAAGGTGGAGAAGTAAGTAAAATACAAGCTTCAGAGCAGCATTTACTTCTCACTTCGAGCTCTTAGCTACCATGTATGGATCTCTCATTTCCTTGGCAGACTCTGACCGTGAAGGAAGACCAAGTCTTCTCCATGAACCCTCCCAAGTACGACAAAATTGAGGACATGGCCATGATGACCCACCTCCACGAACCCGCTGTGCTGTATAACCTCAAAGAGCGTTATGCAGCCTGGATGATCTACGTAAGTAGCAGCCACAGGCTTCCTGCAACTCGCTAGGAAGAGCCAGTCTGCTAAAGCCAATGGAAGGCAACTTGCTGTGTCCTGTCCTTGCAGACCTACTCGGGTCTCTTCTGTGTCACTGTCAACCCCTACAAGTGGCTGCCGGTGTACAACCCGGAGGTGGTGTTGGCCTACCGAGGCAAAAAGCGCCAGGAGGCCCCTCCCCACATCTTCTCCATCTCTGACAACGCCTATCAGTTCATGCTAACTGGTGAGTGATTGGTCTCTGAATCGCTCTTCGCAATAAGCACTCTGTAAGGTGAAATGCACGATTCTTTATGGAAATGGAATGTAGCATGTTTAAAATCCTGGGAGTGAGATTAATGTACTTAAAAGTAGGGGTCTGTGTGATCTGTGTGTGAGCTCCCATTATAATCAGTAAACAGCTTGTCATCGTAATCTATGGAACACATAGAATAAATTGTAATAACTTAATAAATATATGTAAGTATTTATGAAATATAATGAATAGAATAAATTCAAAGGAAGCATCTTGTATCTGGTTTAGACTCCACTCATCGTAATGGGATCTTACAGGTGGACACATTCCTTAAACAGAAAGTATTAAAAAAAAAGAGTATACTGATGCCATTCCAGTGATTGTATACTAGTCATTTTAAGTTTGCAAGCATCAGTGCTATTGAGTGAAAGAGACAAATATTCGTTAAATTGAATTCAGAGTTTTCTGGACTGAACAGGTAGATAAGCTTGATTATTATTAAAATGGAAATTCATAACAGAAAATGTGCCTAGATGGTCTACAGTATGTGCACACTTTAATGGTTATATTAATCTTTATAACATTAGATCAATTATACTGGAAAGAAAACTTCAAAGAAGTAAATTTATTTTAGCCATTTATTATAGTAAACTATAAAAGGAATCTCTCCTGTTTCATAGAAAAATAGTATTATAAAAAATAAAAATCTTCTGCTTTTAAATTGAATGGCTTTCAGCTGGATTGTCTTCTATTTCTTATTTTTCCAATGAATGATGTGTCAATGATGCACAAGATTTTAGATTTTCATTTTACCTACTGTTTTTACAAAGTGGCAGGTAGATTTAGAATGAAGAAAGAAAAATGAAAAATGGTCTACCATAGAAATATGTAATTTCTGTATATGCAATGGGTCAAAATGATGAAATATAGTGAAAGATGTTGTTTAGTCATTTCTGTTACTGGTGAGGTCCCCAAATTTCCAAATTAGTCTGGACATTTTTAGCTGTAAAAAAATTTAGATGCTATCGAAAAGAAAATGAGAATATCCTGATGGGCATAAAATCAACAAGAAAAGCTACTCTGAAGTGATGTCTCTGTAGACCCAGTTTATATTAAAAATAGCGATACTAGGAACACCAGAAGTACTACTGGAATTCCCAGGGAGTTTCATTGCTTTCAGTCCCTGCCACTTTTGGAAGCTGCTTTTCCTATTTCTCTTAATGTTTGTGTTCTTTGTTATTCATTAGCACTACATATTGTCCCTTTCTTTCTCTCTGTATCACAGATCGCGAGAACCAGTCAATCCTGATCACGTACGTACATTCCCTGCTCCGATTCCCAAGGGGTGGCTCTGTGCCTGGGGACCTGCTGCCTGACCAGACGTTCTCTGCTTCTCTCTCTTTTGCTTCCCAGCGGAGAATCCGGGGCAGGGAAGACTGTGAACACCAAGCGTGTCATCCAGTACTTTGCAACAATTGCAGCTAGTGGGGACAAGAAGAAGGAGGAGCAGCCGCAACAGGCGGGCAAAATGCAGGTGATGTAGGGGGAATGGACTGAGCAATTGTCCTGTAATTAGCACATGGATTAAACACTGTAAATTAACAAGACTTATCATGCTCTAGGGCACGCTTGAGGATCAAATCATCAGCGCCAACCCCTTGCTGGAGGCCTTTGGAAATGCCAAGACTGTGAGGAATGACAACTCCTCACGCTTTGTAAG